GCTGTGCATTGCTATAGTGCTGCTACAGCGAGCAAAGGCGCATATTGTCGGAAGGTTATCTGTGTGTGTAATTTTCACCACCGAAACTTCTACGAAGCCGCACGTGATAATCGAGAACGCAGGTAAGCTGAACTTAAATTTGTGAAGTTGATGCGGCCAGGGGATATTACCTTAAAATTTCAGCTTCCCAGCTTTGTGGTCCCCAAATTAATAATTTTCTCCACCAGAACTTTTACACGATAAGATTGTCCTTCACGCTTGTCTGGCTATCACGCACGATCCCGTAAGGTTCGCGCGCAAGAACCACGAAAGCTAGAAAGCTGAAATTTTAGGGGAATTATCTTGGGAACCAAAGAATCTGGGAAGCTGAAGTTTTAGGATACTGTCCTCTGTCCACCACGTACGACTCCGCAAATCCAAATTCGGCTTTCACTTGCGCCTAGGTGTCAGCTTCCCTGTAAAAGTCTTTACGAGAAACATGTGCCAGATAGTCAGAAGAGGTAGAATGCTAAAAAATTCAGGAGGATATTTTCTGCTTGTGCCGGGTCCTTAAAAACCCAAATTTAGTTCTCAGTTATGCCGAGTTCCCCACCTACGACCAAGTAATGGTTTTGGACTAAAATCACTCGAAAAAAGAAAATTGTTAGTTTGATTTGAAGGGATGTTCACCGTCTAAGGTTTTAAGTTCAGCTTTCACGTACCAGTACTTGAAATTTTTAGCGGAAAATTTCGTAACATGGGAATCAGATAACATTTCAACTACTTTTGCACAGAACAAAGTGCAGAGCAGTGAAAATCCTTAGCAGGCAAAAGTTCGCTGGACGGAACTTCGCAAAACATGTATTCGCATCAGGTACCCTGACGCGCGCCGGTATTTGTTATACATTCTTGCTTATGGAAATGCAAGGAGGCATAGTGGCAAGAGGCTGTGTGCGTGTGCGTCTGTGTGCACGTACTTTTTGTTACCCCTTTCAACTGGAGAACCTGAAAAACTGGAAGTCTGATAATTCGGAAGTATGTGCCTACCAGAACCTTCCGTTTTAGTATCATCCCACTTACGGCTGGGCGCCGCGTACGGACTCCTCAAAAAATATGCAAATTTTTGGCAAGAAAGCGATTTCGGGAACCAGAAAGGGTAGTGACCTGAAGATTTTATGTTCAATTCCCCAGTGCGCGTGATACTCTCTTATGGGAGTGTGAAAATTTTGGTAGGGAAATTATTAACTCGGGAATTAGAAAAGCCAGAAGGCTGAAATTTTAGAAAAGCCAGAAGGCTGAAATTTCCTTTATGCAAAATTTAAGGTGATTTACAGTAGTGAGAGCAAAAGCCACTGTAAAACAACAACCATTCTTGTAG